TTGCCTCTGCATACAAGGGGCAGAAACAGGCTTCAGTGGGTAGCAAGTCCAGCTACATTCCAGTCCCTCCCCCTGTTCCCAGGACGCCTGGGGAGACGTGGAAGGATGTCAGAAGCAACTGCAACAGGGGCTGCAACTGGACTCACAGCTAAAAGACCTATGGATCTTGCAAAGCAGAGAAAAACCTCAGAGAAAAGTGCTGGGGTGGAGAGAGGACAGACCACAGGGCCAGGCGTGGATGAAGGGGGGGGTGCCCTGAGCATGGAAGGGGGCTGCTCACTAGGGTAGAGAGAGCAGAACACTGCAAAGTAGCCACAGCCTGTCAGAACAGAGAGTTGCTGTAAAGCACTGGCAGGAGTTAGAGACACCTGGGAGTTTTCCAGACCTGTCAGTCTCAGAGACTGGGCTGCCTCCACCATCCTCAGTGAGAATCAAGAAGGAGGAAAAGGTGAAAGTCACAGAGCAGCACTGAAACAAACACCGACATAGTCTCACTCCACAACAGACAAGACAGGACGCTGTGGACAGGCGCTGTCCAGAGAAGAGCTCACTTTGTCTGACTGCCACTCATTCGGTCATACAGTTACTCATGTACACAAAACAGACATGAACAGAGACCAGAGCAACCAGCTTCCAGTGCTGTACCAGTTTACCAGATGACCTCCTCAACAATGTCTTGGCTGCTGAGAAAGAACTTAGGAAGTTCCCTGTAAAGCCAAATTCCCTCCTGGGAGGCCTACGCTCACTCTCTAGGCCTCTCCAAGGCGCACTGCATCCTTCCTGGCTCCGAGCCCCACACTGGCTTTACGACCTACCTACAAAACCAACATGATGTCCCTCTAAGTTACAGTTTGGGAATAAGGATATTTATCTGGGTTTGCCAACAAAGCTTATGCTATTCTCTTTGGGAGCGGGTCACTTACAAAGGCACCAATGTCCGTTGGCTCTTTCCCCTACATCTCAGCTGAGCTTTTGAGATCTACCACCAGCACCCTGCCAAGATAGTGACTTCCTGCTGCTTCCCAGCTTCCTCTGAAGCTGACCCATTGGGGAGGGGTCGCTGTCTCTCCCTCTGTCTACAGGGTCTGTTAGGGTTCAGACCTTCCGCTGTTACTGGTTTGTTCAGAGGACATGCCTACTCAACATCCCCATTGATCACATTCCCATTATTAAATACCAGACCAGACCAGACCAGACCAGACATAGTCTCACTCCACAACAGACAAGACAGGACCCTGTGGACAGGCGCTGTCCAGAGAAGAGCTCACTTTGTCTGACTGCCCGTCACTCATTCGGTCATACAATTATTCATATACACAGAACAGACATGAACAGAGACCAGAGCAACCAGCTTCCAGTGCTGTACCAGTTTACCAGATGACCTCCTCAACAATGTCTTGGCTGCTGAGAAAGAACTTAGGAAGTTCCCTGTAAAGCCAAATTCCCTCCTGGGAGGCCTACGCTCACTCTCTAGGCCTCTGCGAGGCACACTGCATCCTTCTTGGCACCAGCCCCACACTGGCTTTACAACTTACCTACAAAACTGACACAATGTCCCTCTAAGTTACAGTTTGGGAATAAGGATATTTATTTGGGCTTGCCAACAAAGCTTATGCTATTCTCTTTGGGAGAGGGTCACTTACAAAGGCACCAACGTCTGTTGGCTCTTTCCCCTACATCTCAGCTGAGCTTTTGAGATCTACCACCAGCACCCTGCCAAGATAGTGACTTCCCGCTGCCTCCCGGCTTCCTCTGAAGCTGACCCATTGGGGAGGGGTGGCTGTCTCTCTCTCTCTCTGTCTACAGGGTCTGTTAGGGTTCAGACCTTCTGCTGTTACTTGTTTGTTCAGAGGACATGCCTACTCAACATCCCCATTGATCACATTCCCATTATTAAATACCAGACCAGACCAGACCAGACCAGACCAGACCAGACGATACCAGACCAGACCAGACCAGACCAGACCAGACCAGACCAGACCAGACCAGACCAGACCAGACCAGACCAGACCAGACCAGACCAGACCAGACCAGACCAGACCAGACCAGACCAGACCAGACCAGACCAGACCAGACCAGACCAGACCAGACCAGACCAGACCAGACCAGACCAGACCAGACCAGACCAGACCAGACCAGACCAGACCAGACCAGACCAGACCAGACCAGACCAGACCAAACCAAACCAAACCAAGATATCTCATTGTGTGTATGCAAATATTTAAAAACATTGCTTGGGTTTTTTTGAGACAGGGTTTCCTTGTGGTTTCAGCTGGTCTGGAACAGGCTGGCCTTGATTTTACAGAGATATGCCCGCCCCCGGCCCTGCCCAGGCTCCCTGCTCCTGTCTCTGCTTCGGCCTGAGTGCTGGGATTAAAGGCACGTGCCACTGTGCTGGTGCCCAAAGAATTTTTTTTATATCCCAAGTCCAAAATACTTCTGGTCCAAAGCTATTTAAATGAGGGATACTCAACCAATATACTTTTCTATTTAACTTGTTATGAGCTAAATTAAAAGACAGGTTATGTGATAGTGGATAAATCATCAAGCATTGTAGATGGCTACTCACATTTCCTGAAAAAATTTTTAAAGAAAAATAAGTAAATAAATAAATAATCCAACAATTTTATCAGCGAGAGCAAGATGGGGTTAGTTTTGCCGTTTCACCTTCCCACACCCTGTAGTTATGTGCTTCATACAGTCTGTTCTACGAGGTCTGTTCTATGTCACGTCACTGGCTTTCAAGCATGACTCTGGAATACCCCAGTGTTTTTCAGATGTTTTGCAGACTTTGAGATATTTTCACATATCTATAGAAAAGAACAATTCATGTGACATACATTCATTTTTTGACTCAGACTTCATGGGGAAGGAAATAAGTCCTTTAAACACATACACATATGCACATATGCATACATGTACACACATATGCACTCACATGTACACACACATATATGGATACACAAACAGGCAAACCACACACACTGCTATTTGGAACAAACAGAACTATGACCCATCTAAAAAGCAGATGGAGGAAACTGGAAGTGGGGTTAGTCAAGAAGAGTTACACACTGAGTAGAAGCCAAATATCCAGCAACACTAAACTCCTAACCAGATGACTCCAGTGCTCAGTGGCTGAAGGCTGAGCTATAGGACAGGAAGTCAAGTGAGAGAACTGAGAAAAATGCCCCCTGAGGTTTAGGTGTGGACCTGAGGCTGGCTCCACTCCCTCCCCATCCTTTGCCACCACTTGTGCAACCTCTATAGCAGGTATAAGGAAGGTCAGGACACTAGTCAGATAACCCAGATCAACTCTGGTCATGTCAGCGGTGACAGAGGCCATGACCAGTGCCCCACCCCACTCAAGCAGGCCTCCCCGGGTGCTGCTGGAGCCTCAAGACCTCTTGACTCCTAGTTCTCATCTGGAAGTGTCCTGAAGGACAGGAGCCACAGGCAGATGTTTTTGTATGGGTCTGTGGCCAGTGCTCACCGGCTCTGGTGGAGTGAGGCCCCCTGAGATCACCCAGGTCTATAGTGTCTTCCTCTGCAGCAAGTGTATGAGCTGACTGCATCCTGGGAGCCTGTGGGAGGCTCTGGACCTGCAGAATCCACATAGGATCCATTTGAAGTCCTGTAGAGAAGCTTGCAATGAAGACTCTCAGAATATACTGATGGAACTTGACTTCATTCCAGGCAGTCGGGGCAAAGGAAGGATGCAGAGTGGGCATGGTGGCTCACACCTGAGGATCAGGAGTTCAGTCATCCTCAGTTACGTAGGAAGTTTAGGACCATTCTGGGTTACATGAAACCCTATGTTTTTTATGTGTATGAGTGTAGTGTCTGCATGTGTGTAAGTGTAGCAGTGTTGTACAATGCCCATTGTAGTCAGAAGAGAGTGTTATATACCCTGGAACTGGAGTTACAGACAGTTATTAGCTGCCATGTGGGTGCTGGGAATCAAACCTGGGTCCTCTGCAAAAGCAGACAGTGTTCTTAATTTCTGAGCCACCTCTCCAGTCCCAGAATCATATATTTTGAGAGAGAGAGAGAGAGAGAGATGGCTCAGCAGTTAAGAGCACTGGCTGCTCTTCCAGAGGACCTGGGTTCAATTCCCAGCATCTAAAAAGAGAATCAGCCTCCTCTATCCCCAAAGAATTGCCCACCCAGGGGTTTGGCTGTGAACGAGTCTCTCTTTGCCTGCAGAACTGATTACATCAATATTGTGTTGAGTCGTGATTAAAACCCATTCAGTTTACTTTTGTTTGTTTGCTTTTTCGCATCCCCAGCACCCTGCGACTGCTTTGTAGAGTTCACACATCCCAGAGATGCAGAGCCACATGAAAACACAGCACTGCTTGGTAGGGTAGAGAACCAGGTGTCCCAGAGGGTGTGGGCGGGTGATGTTTACAGATGAACACTGTGGAACAGGGGGAAGCTGCGGACTAGAGGTTCAAGATTAGACGTGCAATGCACCATCTCAGCCCATTAAAAATACACATGTGCCGAATACTACTACATGTTACATAGGACATACATGTGGAAACTCATCAGTCCACTAGAAAGCTTACATGTAGGACTGGAGAGGAAGTTAGACGTGGGAGTTAGGACTGAAGACAGAAGGGGACAAGTAGATTCAGAGTGAGATCACCGGTGTCCATGACAGTCTGCAGGACTGGAGTGGAGGGACTGACTTAATCCTCGGGCCCTGAGGTCCACCAGGAATCACAATGTTGATGATGATTAAAGTGAGTTAGATGCAATAGTCACTGTGAAAAGATCATTATCTGGTGGGAGGAAAATTACAAAGACATAAATCCTTGAACTGTAAGATTATTAAAACTTAAAACTCTGAAGTCCTAAAAGGGGCAATTTAACGTGACCTTTGCCATCGCTGGGTCAAGTTGATGGGGAAACTGAGAGAGCGCTTGTCTGACTTACAGTAATGCATAAGAGAACAGATCACAACTAGAGAACAGATTTGGCCACACAACTAGACCGCATTTGAACTTGGCCTTTTTCTTCATAAAGCAGGAATGCAGGACAGTGGTTAAGCAGTTTTAGATCCCGATGCTCCAATCCTGAATGTCAGCGTCAGGACTTCCCAGCTGTGTGGCCTTGATTACGGTGCTCAGTCGTCCTGTGCACAAGAGGACATAAGCATCAGGAGTAAAACCACAGCAGTAGGACCCATCTCATAGACTGTTGGTGCGCTAATAGACTACATGCTCGGGGAGCACCTGGGCATAGTAAGTGGTTAACTATGCAGCTCTGTGCTTCAACTATCGGGAGATCAGCGTGCACTTCTTAAATTGAATTTTCCTCTCCTCGTTCTGAACAGCGGGTGCTAGGCTCCCTCCTTTTTCCTCTGTTCTTCTGACCTCACCCTAAGATCCCCAACTCCACAGTAACTCACATGGGTCACTGGGCCCAGGGTGTCTCGCCTGGAGTGCAGAGCCCTTAGGATGAGCACGGTGCCAACGATGACACCCACCAGACCCACCACCAGGCCCAGGGCACAGACCACAGTCTCCGTCATCTCAGTCACCTGGATTGGCTCCTGTGCCTCTGAGGAAAGTGAAGAGATGGAGTTAGGACAGTGGGGATGCCAGGACACCAGGTCCAGGAGCAGAGGGTGCATGGAGGCCATGGAGGGCAAGCGGCTCTTTACCCCAGTGAGTGACGCTCGGCTGGTCCAGGCCCCAGTGCTCCACCTGGCAGTCATAGAAGTCCTCAGCCATGGGAATGAATGGCAGGTAGTGGAACTTATAGAACCTGTTGTCCGTTCTGGGCAGAAAGATGGTCTCAGAAGTTCCTTCAGTGACGGGCTGTCCATTTCTCAGCCACGTGACATTGAGCACCGGAGGGAAGAACTTGTCAATGTGACAGATGAGGACATTGGGCTGGCCCAGCTCCACAGGGCTCTTGGGAAACACAGTCACTTCAGGAGGCTCTGGGAGGAGACGGAACCTGGTGAGACCCTGTTCTGATGAGTCACAGATGTCCTACCCTGGGTGTCCTCTACCTCAGGCTCAGACTTATGGCACCTCCTGGGTCCTGAATGAGAGCCAGGAGTCTCCCACTGCTCAGACTCCTGGGGTCAACCTCTTTCTCTCCAAGTGTAGGAAGAGGAAGGCATACCCTCCATTGTACTGCAGGGAACATATAGCCACTCAGATCATTTATCAGAGGATCTCCCACTATGGTTGTGGGGCAGATACCCTCCCATCCCTTTCCACTGGTGGCAAAGGATGATGCAGGAGCGGTGGTACCCACCACTCAGGGCCTGGGTGTGGTTGGATCTCTGGATCAAGAATTTCAAGATATTTTTCAAACTGGCAATGTAGGGCAGTGCATTCTGAGGGTCAAACCAAAAGGCTTGTCCAAATTCTGGCAGATGCCAGTTGGTTTCTCTCTTGTCCAGATCCACATGGAACTGCTCGTCACCATCAAACTCAAACATGTACTCTCCGGATGGTTTTTGACTCTGTACAAATATGTCATAAATTGCTACGTGATCTGCTGTATGAAGAAAACAGAGAAAGTGAGGTAAATGTAAAAATGAATGTACAGGTGACATAGCCCAAGAATGACTGGATTTATTAACAAAGTCCAAAGGAAAGGTCTATAGAGGAAGAAGGAGACAACTCATAAAAGGAAATGAGGGAGAAGCCCAGCTACTTCCTGTCACTCCGTCTGAGCATCCTGACTACAGAGGTTCGAGTGACAGTGACGAGGAGCACCTGCTTGACCTTTACCAAGAACTAAACTTTGTTTGAGTGGTTTATGTATTTTACTCATTAATCATTGCAGTAACCCTAAGAAGCACATGAGGAAACGCAGAGGTTACACAGCTCCGTGAAGCTAGAAAAGTATTTTCCTCTCCCCATAAACTCTGAGGCCTAGGACCACAGTGCGAAATTGTGTTTAGACTCTTCAGTTTGGAGATGCAGGAACCTTATTTTTCTTATTAAAGAAAAGACAGAAAATGGAAAGTTGAGAGAGAAGAAAATTCTCTCCAAGTTGTCGCCATGCTCTTTAAGGTCCTCGTGTTTTGTTCTACTTTATGGTAGTGGGTGGTTCTGTCCATATTTTTCATCTTAAGCATATTAAATCTAAAAGTATTATACAGACATTCTGGCACTGGCTTCAAACTTTCTTTTTTGATTTTTTTTTTTTTTGATCTTTTGAAACAGGGTCTCCCTGTAGCCCCAGCTGTCCTGGATTCACTATGGAGACCAGGCTGGCCTCGAACTCACAGAGATCCACCTGCCTCTGCCCCCTGAGTGCAGGGATTAAAGGCGTGCACCACCACGCCTGGCCTTTTTTGATTTTTTGATTTTTGTTTTAAATGGAACTATAAATGTTGCTAGGTTCTAAATATGTGTTTCTTAGTCTTTACTAGTTTTTCAGAAATAGAAAAAGCAAGAGAAACTATCAATATCTTTAAATAAAATACTCAAAGCCACAGAGCTTTTTAAAAATTAAAAAAAAATGTGTATGTGTGTTTTGCCTACATGCTTGTAAGTGTATGTAATTGAAGTTACAGAAGGTTATGAGCTGTCATGTGGGTGCTGCGACCAGAACCTGGGTCCTCTGCAAGTGCAATCAGTGCTCTTAACCACTGAGCCGTCTCTCCAGCCCCAGGAACTGTCATTATTAATAAAGCAATGAAGCTGTGTGAGGCCCTGGCTTAGGGTGAGTGATAGTGTGGAGGACAAGGGCCTTCCAGCCTCACCTCTGCACTCGGCTTTCCCTGTGAGTTCACAGCCCCTGCAGGCAGGACATCTGTGCTTGGATATCACAGTGACACAGAGCATGTTCTTTCAGGGAATTCTAGGTTCCTCCTCAGTTCAGAGGAATGACCTTCAAAAAAGAGGGTGAAATAAAAAGAGAGAAAACCCTAAAGCATCAACAAGACCCACGCAAACTCAAGCAGACAAAAACCCAGCATAAAACTGGGGAAATGGACAGCAGAGTCCAATCTTAGATGAAGAGATATTGGTAACTGGTTACTTCTGGGTGAGCAAGAGCTGATCTTCCTAAAGTGAGGGACTGTTGATAGGCTGACTAGACCTCGGTGGGTAAACTTGCACTGAGGGACATCTGGGGATGCTAACTTGACACAACAGGCCTTAAGACAAATGACAGAATGTATGAATTCCAGTGGGGGGCTATGAGACGGTGCCAGTGGGGAAGAGGATATAAAGATGATTAAGATTGATTGAGATGTTCTGTATGAAATACACAAAAATTCAATAAAATTTTTTAAAACCTAAAGCATCATTAAAAACTCTTTTTATGCTTTTAAAAATATTTTCAGAAATTCTGAGGTCTGAAGATTAGTCAGATATGAGACCAATTATTTTCCATCATAAATCATTTCCATCTGGGCCTGGCAGCACAGGCTTGTAATCTCAGCTACTCAGGAGGCTGAGGCAGGAAGATTTCAAGTTCAAGGCCAGCCTGGGCAAATTAGTGAGACCCTGTCTCAAAATAAAAGAACAAAAGGCAAGGGTGGGGGCTGGGACATAACTCCATAGTAGGATTTTCACTCAATATACATGAGGTTCAATCCTCAGTACTTCCAAGACAAATCATCTTCATTTAGGGGAAAATGTACTGAAAACCTATTTACTATAAGCCAGGCATAGTAGCTCAGTCCTGTAATCTGAGCATTTGGGAGGCTGAGGCAGGAGGATTGCCTATAAATTCAAAAGCATCCTGGTCTACAGAATGAGACCCCAATTCAAATAAAAATCAGATATGGTGTCTGTCCTCCTGACAAATCTGAAAGAGGCCAACTAGAGAATTGATGACAGTGAGAACAGTGTGGTAAGTGCAGAGCCCCTGACAGACACAGAGTGCTGCCAGGTGCACAGGAGGCGTCCTCATGAGCTGACTGTTTAAATTGTTTAAACTGAGCCATTACAAAACATGAGAACCTACCACTATTCTACCAAATAGACATAATGTTGAACCAACTCCTAATGACTTATCATTATACCCATAGGTTAGTGCAGCTCTCAGTTCTCACAAGAGAAGCTTCTTCTTGCAGCAGATGTGATTACCACAAAAGCCTGTGGCTGAATCACTGTGCAGAGAGAATAACAGACTGTGGCTTGCTCAGCCCTTAGTGGGACACCTATATCACACCATCTCCTCCCAAGACTCGAGGATCGTTTTGGAAGAGAGGGGCAGAAAGATCCTAAGAGCCAGAGGTGGTGGATGAATACAAGGAAACCAAGTTGTTTGGACACCACAGGGCAGTTGCACATAGGAACAAGCGGTGCTTTTGACCGCATGCACAAGACCTGTCCAAGCCCAAGGCAGACAAGACCCAGCACGGATGGGTGGGTGGGCAAGAAGCCCCAGCTCTAGCTAAGGATCTCTTGGCGATTGATAGCTTCTGGGAGAGGGAGGGTCAGTTCTATAGGGGTATGATGACTGGAAGGTTGACCAGGCTCCCAGGGATAGACTACATCCAATAGCATTTGGGAAACATGGATTAAACTGATAGGCCTTTTAAAAAATTAAAATAATAACAGGGGACATGAAGTCAGATGGGGGTAGTAGGGTTGGGGTAGGGATGAAGGAAAGAGTCTGAATATGGTCAAAATATATTATATGAAATTCTTGAAGAATCACTTAAAATTAGCTAGGTGTGGTGGTGCACACCTATAATCCCAGCACTTCAGACGCAGAGGCAGGCAGATCTCTGAAAGATTGAAACCAACATGGTCTACATAGTTCCAGGCCAGCTGGGGCTACAGGAAGACCATGTCTCAAAAATAAAACAACAACAACAACAAAAAAGAAATTAAGCAAACAAACAAAAAAGAAAGGAAACACCTTTCTCACTAGGGGAAGAAAGTTCAACGTTTGAAGAACCACAAGGGCTTTGGTCCAGCTGGAGCAGGAGATGAGATTTGGTTAGGTGAGATCACCAAAGACCTTACTAGAGCTCAGGAATTTTAATGTCATCCTGAAACTCACAAGAAATTATCAAAGTATTTTAGTAAGAGAGAAACAACAACCTAAACAGAAAGCTAACTGAAGAGGCAAGACCAGATATGCTTCAGCAACAGAAAGTGGGCGGTGTAGGGATAGACAGAGAACAATCCATTTTTTTTGTCTTTTTGAGACAGGGTCTCCCTGCAGCCCCAGCTGGCCTGGAACTCACTATGTAGACCAGGCTGGCCTTGAACTCACAGAGATCCATCTGCTTCTGCCTCCTGAGAGCTGGGATTAAAGGCGTGCGCCACCACACCTGGCCTAAGAAGAATCAATTTTATTGACACTAAAGAGATTAGACTCTACAAGAATTGGGTGGGGGGAGATGGAAAACTCACAGTTAACTTTGGTATTCTTAGCCAATGAAATAATCTCTCTCTCTCTCTCTCTCTCTCTCTCTCTCTCTCCTCTCTCTCTCTCCCCCTCTCTCTCAACTTTTGCTACTTAAAACATCTTAGAAGCTGTAGAGATGACTTAGCAGTTAGGAGCACTGGCTGCTCTTGTAGAGGACACAGGTTTGATTCCCAGCACTCACATAATGGCCAACCACCATCTGTAACTCCAGTTCCAGGGATCCAATGCCCTCTTCTGGTCTCCACAGGCACTGCATGCCCATGGTGCACTTACACAGATGCAGGCAAAATACTCATACATAAAATAAAAATAAATAACCCTAATCTGAGAACTGTTGGAGACTGATTACCACTTGGTGAGAGTAGACCTTACTTAAGATCTCTAGATAGGCTGAATAGACTCCAGTGGTTGAATATGCCCCTGGGCAAAATGCTTAACCTAATGGAACTTAAAATGTATGGCAGAATATATGAGGCCTGGTGGGGGGCTTGGATGGTGGGGGGGCTCTTAATTTGATCAAGGATGGTTGTGGTTGTATGAAGTATACAAAAGCTCAATAAAAAATATTTTAGACAACCTGATTCAATTCCCCAGCCTCCACATCCTGTTCTGCTTCTAGCTGTGGGCACGGGCCTGCTTCTGCTCTTGGCATCCCAGACCTCTGGATTACCCTCTTGGCCCAAATCCACCCACTGCATCCTGATCCTTTGTACCCAGACCAACCCAATTCTTCAGTCTAGTTCCCTAAAGCCTTCATTGCCTACCCCCACCCACAACTTGCCTTTGCACATCTGAGACCACCCTTTTACCATGGCTGTTCCCAACTCCAACTTGCCTGGGATTCCTGAGACTAGCCTTCTTCCCTGACTGCCTGAGATTGCCTGAATCCTTCCTCCACCTAGCAAGCCTCCCAAATCATCCTGTGCTTGTTGACTAGAGGGAACCAGACCTTAGGAGGAAGCCTGAGAGCATCTGTTCCTCATCCAACTTTGGCCTCTGTAGGAACTCCTGAGCAGCTGGACTAAAGCCATTAGGACCCTCCAACATAAAATCAAAAGAGAGAACCTGAAGCCCAGACTAACCAGCTTTTCATGCCCAAGAAGAAAACAACAAAGGTACATCAAGTACACAAACAGAAACAGACCTAAACGCAA